TGAGCACAGGACTCTGGAGCCAGCCCAGAGCTGCTGGTGGGTGCTGTTGAGACCCTCCCCATTCACAGGCCCAGGTCTTCTCCCAGGGGGAGGGGGCCAACAACAGCCACGCCCCCATCTCACCCTGTAGAGTGCAAAACCTTGGTTCAGATGCCCTTGGTTTCACAGGTTTAAACAACTCCTCAGGCCTGACAGCCCTTCTTAGCAGAAGCCAAGTCCTCATGTCTGAAGTGTGAGGTCCAGCAATATCCCAAGAGGAAACCCCATGGCTCACCGTCCTGCTCCAGAGATGGGATGACCTAAGGGACATCCACAGATGCATGATGACTGGCCCAACCCACCACCTGTCTGGCAAAGGACATGCCCAAGGCCTCTAACTGGTTAGAGGAGGCCAACTAAGCCCAGAACGCCCACTCGTGGGCTGCAAACACTGAGGGGACGGTGTGGAGGGCATCTCATCCACATCACTGGCTTTGGGAGGACATAGTAAGTAGAATGTGCAGAAGCCCAGGAACGAGGCAGGCTGAGATACCTTAGCACCCACAGGACAAGAGGGTGAGCTCCTGGGAGGCAGTGGGGGAATCTGTCACGTGTCCAAGACTTTTACGGTTGAATGTTCTCAGAGTAAAAGACCAGCAAGAATGGGAAGAAGAAACACCCAGATCCACTGAGTCACTGTGGTAGGGACAGGGTCACATGCACTGGATTTGTCTCGTCCTGCTATCTGCCTCGCAGACATTTTTTTTTTTTTTTTCTAGCCAGGGACTGAACCCAGGGACGCTTGACCACATCCCCAGTCCTTTTTATATTTTATCTAGAGACAGAGTCACATTAAGTTGCTGAGGCTGGCTTTAAACTGAGGCTCCTGAGGCTGCTGGGATTATGGGCATGTACCACAGTGCCTATCTACAGACACCTTGAAGGAAGGTGACAGAGGCCGGATGAAGGGCTTTCCACTCTGGAAGTCACGCCTGGGTGGGGGCCTGGTGAGCAATGTTGCTAGACAGTACTTGGCCTTGCAGGGAGGAGGGTGGGCTAAAGATGTCTCCCTGCCCTGCCTGGGCTACTGCAGTGGACAAGGGGGACTTCACTGAGGAATAGGGACTTCACTGAGGAACAGGACAGAGGGGAGGGAAGGCTCTGAGCTGGTATAGCACTGCAGCCACCAGAGCTAGACAGGAGCCAGAGGAGGTACCAGGCTGTGCAGCTGCTCCAGAAGGGCAGGGGGAGGAGCAAGCCCAGCTGTGGGGGCTGGAGAGGAGGACCCCCCCAGGACACCCCAGGACGGGAGGTCTGTCTGACCCTGTGCACTAAATGGCCAATCAGTCCTTGGGCTGAGCTGTTGAGGGGGACGCCACCAGGCTGGAACAAGACCATGAGGGCCTGGAAGGACAAAAGAGAGGAGGTGTGGGCAAGGGTGCGGGTGGTAACAGGCCATGCAGAGGTGAGGAAGAACATTCTCCTTAGACCTGTGGCATCCTTAGAGGGGACTCCAGCAGTGAGCCAGGAAACTCCTACAAAAGGAGCTCCTGGTGGTGGTCAGGTTCCCAACGTCTGCAGGCAGCAGTGCCTACCATATCTGCCTGTGTCCCCTGAAGCCTTCTCTGCAGGACCGATGCACAGGCCAAGACTGAAGTGGGGGCACACCCTCTGCAATGTGTCCTTCAGGGGAGTTACAGCTGGGCAGCATCAGCACTCTGCCTGGCACTGTAGTCACAAGGAGAACATGAGGACACGTTTCCTGAGCTGGTCATTTATCCCATAGTTGCAGGAAGCACCTTACTGAGCTGGCACATGTGCTGCTGCCCTGACCAAAGTGTCCTTCCAGTCTCCCAGCCCACCTGCTCCCCTTGAGTGGGATCAAGTCCAGGCCAGCATCTGCCCAATGCCTAGACCACCACTCTGCACCACCTAGGCCCAGAGGTCATTAGTAAGGGGCACTTTGGGTTGGGGACTGAAGACAGCACCCTCCCTCCCAACCTCCACAAAGCCAGGAGGCCTGAGGGCATCCTTGTGTATGTGCATACACACCCTTGCACACAGCCCTGTGTGTCCACACTCACGCATACACCTCTGTGATCAGAATTTCTGAACCTCCAAAGCCCCCAGCCCTTCTCAGAACAATCAAGGGCAGGTACTGTCCAGAGGAAGCCACCAATGCCTTCTGTGATCTGAGCAGACTGGGTGCCCTGTGTTTATTCCATCAGCTGGGGTAGGATGGCTGTAACAACCCTCTCCAGCAGCTCCTGCTGGGCCGTCTGTCTCCCTGGATCATCTTTTCACCCTCAGGTGGCATTTCGGGCCAAGTGTATGCCTCCAAGTTCATATTCTAGAGTCTGTGAGGTTACTCCTACCTCAGAATTTATCCACAGTTGGAAAGACAACATTTAAAGAGGTGATTAAGTTAAAAGCAGGCCATTAGGATGGATCTTGATCCAATGGGACTGTCCTTCCAAGAAGAAATCAGTCTGGTGTACAGCCCAGTGGTGTGAGCTTAGGGGGAGCAAGGCCTGGTTCAATCCCCAGTACCATCAAAATGAAAAAGGAGAGGCCATCAGGACAGATTTGCAGAGGACCACGTGAGGACACAGGGAGGAGACACTGATGGACAGGGAGGAGAGAGGCCTTGGGAGAAGCCAGCCTGCAGCACCTGGACCCCAGACCCCAGAGGGTGAGAACACTGACTTCAGTGGAACAGGAGATGCCAGCCCAAGTGGACAGAGATGGCAGCTCGAGGCCAACACCTCGCCTCCTTTCAAAGCCCCACCCAAGGAGAAGCCTGGCAGGCCCAGGAAGAAACTCGTGGCTGGTCTACTGAGGATGTCTAGGCAGCTGGTACTCCCTGCCCAGCAGGAGGAAGTACCCACACAGCAGGTGTTGTGGTTGGGCTTCCTGAAGATGCCAGGGCCTGGCACACACACACACACACAGAGCAACACTGATCAGAAAGAAGACAGAGGGGGACGGGGATCCACCTCAGCACCAGCCTGCCCTAGGGGTGTCCTGGGAGGAATGGGAGGAGCCCTCACTGTGCAGCAAATTCACGTCTTCCAGCACAGGACACAGCTATGAGGCTGACCTCTCTCCATCGTGCTGCAAATGGTAGGTGCGGGGCCACTGGGCCTCAGGCTGCTGCCCAATCTCCTGTTACCAGTGCCATCTGCCCAGGCCCTTCTCAGCCAGTGGCCTGACCTGCCCTGTCTACAGAGTCTGGCCAAGTTCAGTGATACAGAGTAGACCCCAGGGGTCAGGAGAACAGCAGTCGGCTTAGGCCTGTGCCAGACCCCAGACCCTAGGGCCAAACTGTGGACACAGGGGAGTGTGGGTTTAGAAGGGGAAAAAGCCCCCCAGTGGGACCACCCCTTCCCACCACTGCCTTGGAGCACAATCCACCCTGACAGCCCACCACAGAGGGACCAACAGGGGAGAAGGGAGTGAGGTGGTCCTAGCAAGCATTCCTCCTCCAAGCAGGAACAGAAGACCACAGAGAGGTGTCCCACCTCCTCTACTGACTGCTGCCATGCCCTGAACCTGGGAGTCCCACCACTGGCTGACCCCTGGTCCCAGCTGGAGGGAAACACCTTAGCAAGGGCCCAGCCAGGACCTCAGCATTCAAGGCAGGGTGATGGCCTGGCCTCTGCTCACGGCCCTGGGTAACACATGCTTGCCCTCACAGAGCAGGCCTGGGAACCCTGCAGAGAGTCCCAGCCAGCAGTGACACCACACCTGTCTCCAGACACCAACCATCCTCAGGGAAGGAGCTACTAGGAAGTGGGTGGCTTAAATGAGCTCCGCACAGCCAAACTGTTTCCAGAACAAACACAAAGACTCACAGGAGCACTCAAACACCAGCTCCCAGAGGCAACATCTGCGACATCTGGTACCCAGTCCAACTCTGGGTCCACAGGGCTGCACCCCAGGCCCCTGACCAAGGAGACGGTCACGTGCAGGCTGATCAGAGCCAACCCAACATCAGGATCAGCAGAGGAGGACACCGGCTGTCATCACAACGGAATCCCACACAAGCACACGTTTAGCAGAGGCCCAGAGGATGTAAAATGAGACCCAAACCCTGACACATGGGAACTACAGCCTGTGAGATGAAAGAAAGCACTGAAGGCAACTAATGGCAGGGTGGGCCTGGCAAAAGAAGCCACCAGCAGTCTGTGCCACCAGTGCAGACACAGCAAGGAGGAGCAACCGAAACGAAATAAGAACCCTAGAAGTGGAACCAGGCCCAGCAGCTGCGGCTGGGCTAGACCGCCCTGACACAAGCACTCGCTGGCGGTGCCTGAGGTCAGGAGCCAAAGGGAGGTCCAGAGAGCTGAAGGAACCACGAGACCTTCCACATGTGACAAGCAGCATGTGTGCACGGACCCCAGGGAGCACAGTGGAGATGAAGTACAAGGAGCACCTGGACACGAAGGACCATGTGGCTCAAAACCCAGTGGCAAAAAAAGAAAATAAGTTCTAAATAAAATTATATGATTAAAAACAAAACAACAACAACAACAACAAAAACCCAGTGGCAGGTGCTGAACCTGATGGCAGTAAGGGGCCACAAGCACAGGGAGGCGCAGAGGAGACAGGGGCAATGGATTCCAGGATGGACAGAACTGGGCTCCACACCAGCAGAACCACACAACAGCAGACACTGGAGACCCTCAGAGAAGGAAGTGACAGAAAAGGAGCAGGTCTTCCTCGTCCACGTGGCGCAGGCCAGCTGACAGCCCTTCACACATAAACTAGCAGCCTTGGCCTACACTCCCACTCCTGAGGTCAGGAGAGGTCAACACACTCAGGGACAGCAGTGTGGCTGCATCCCCAGGCTACTGCATCAAGGTGGTAGCCACCCCTGGCAGGAGCTGAAGTGCAGGGATGCCCACATCATCAGCCCCAGAGCCCATGAGCCCAAGGGGCCAGAGTCCCCACCCTCTCCAACCCCACACCACTGGTGATTGGTGACATCCTGGATGTGATGAGGAGGGTCCTGAGCTTACCTGGCCCCAATGACAGGCTCACGGGCATCCTTGGAGGCTGCATAGTCCATGCCATAGAAGTTAAGCCCCAGGAGAATCTTGCTCCGCCACTTGGACTTGGGGTCCAGAGCCTGGACACAGGCTCGAACCCAGGACAGCGGGGCGTTAGGGCCAGGCCTGCAGGGTGACAGGGAGAGTTCCAGTGCAGGCAGGAAGCCTTGAACCTGACCCAGGGCTGTCCACTTGGAGTGCATCCTCCCTTTACTGTGGCCCATGCCCCTCAAGAGTTGGGAAGAAGCTGGGTGTAGTGGCACACACCTATGATCCCAGCAACCAGGAGGCTGAGGCAGGAGGATCACAAGCACAAAGCCAGCCTGGGCAATTTAGCGAAAATCTGTCTCAAGATGAAAAATAAGAAAAGGGCTGGTAGCTCAGTGGTAGAGCACCCCTGGGTGCAATCCCTAGTACCAAACAAACAAAAACCAGAAAGAACCAGGAATGACGGACGCTGCTGTAGAGGACCATGGCAAAATGGCTCTGGACCCCTCCACTAGAACCCATGGGTGTCCTACCCAAGGCAGCCTCCCAGTGCCCAGCTTGGCAGGCAGCAGTCCTAGACCAAGGCAGGGAGGGCTCAGCAGATACACAGCCTCTCAGGTGTCACTCCTGCTACTTCACATGGTCTTCCAAGAGCCAGGTGGCTCAGGCACAGGTCTGAGGACAGAGGCAAGAGCAAGGCCATGCCTATTCCACCCCAGACAGAGCCCCCCACAGGTCACCTCTCCTGGGTATGGACATGCTAAGCAGCAGGTCCCATAGCAGGAGGGTGCCTGCCTGGGAGGCCAGGAGTGGGCCTGCAGCTTCAGAGACCTGGTTGTGCCCGCAGCACCACAAGGCCACACTTACTGCTGCGACGTGGAGTAGTCGTAGGTCATGAGGCTGAAGCCATCCAACACCGGGGCCAGCTGCTCAAACTCCTTGTGGGTGAACATGCCCAGCTGGTCGGTCCTGGAATGAGAGAGCATGCTACCTTGGCCACCACACAGAGCCCATCAGCCAGCCTGTCCTTAGCTGCTTTCTGGGCCCAGCCAGAGTCAGAGCAAGTTGGATATAGGGGCTCCCCATACCCCTCCATCCCTGCCATATGGGGGTCAGTTTCCTTTGAAGACAGGGATGGCCTGCTGCATGGCCAGGGTCATACTTCAGAGACAGCAGAAATGTCCAGCTCTCCTTGCCCCTGGAGGGCTCAGAGGAAGAGGGGCAGGGGCTGGGCAGTTCCAGATGCTGAGTTCCAGGACAATTCCACTGGTGGGCATGGCTGGGCTAGGCCAGCCTCACAGAGGCCTCTGCTGCCCATAGGGACCAACCAGCGAGGGATGCTCACCCTTACAGGTTCCTGTAACCACAGTGTGCTATGCATTTCAGCTGCTGGCTCCTTCTGACCCTGCTCCCAATCCCAAGGGTCCATCTGCCTCTAAACTCAGCCACACCCCAGGCTCTCTGCTCCTCCTAGCAACGTGAGTAAACAAGACACTGCCTCTTCTCTGAAGAATGCTGGGCTGCTCAATGTTCCTGCATAAGCCCAAATCCAGCTGGCCAGTGCCCAGGTATCCCCAGCTCAGAGGTGGTCTCATGGTGGGGACCTTAAACATGGTCACCCGAGTGCCAGGGTGGACCCAGAGGGCGGCCTGCTCACAGGCCCAGTGCAGCCCCAGCAGAAAGGACAGCAGCTCAAACATTCCCTAGAGCCCTCCAGAGAACAGGCTCTGAGGATGCACAGAAATAGCCTTTGGCTCCAGGAAAAGCTTTCCCCCTGTGAAGGCTCCTACCCAGGAGGGACGCTCACTTAGGAACCCAAGAGCATCCACCCTTCCTAACCCTGCTTGTGAAGAAAGGCATGTTCCCCTGTCCCATCTCATGTCACAGAAGCATCTGAGGCATTTTGTCTCTGACTCCTGCCCTGCTCAGCTGGGCAGGGCCAGACAGGGAGGGAGAAGCCTGGCTGACAGCCAGAGCCCAGGCCAGCTGCACTGAACAGGGACACAGGGAGGGAGGCCCAGCTGCCTCCCAGGGCCCTGCTTGCCTCACACAGGGCACTTTTGTTCACCTGCTCGGCACATAGGGCATATTTTTACTGGCTGGTTATTCCTTGGAAGTGACACTCTAATAAGAGCCGAGGAGTGGGGGACAGTATCTTGGGAGATCCCTTCTGCCCTTCACATTGCTTCTGAGAAGCCCAGAGCTCAGGAGGATGGACAGAGGAAGGGCAGCAGTGGCTATGTCCCTGCTCTGGGATACCTCCTGCCTTACCAGGGATATTGTGACTCATGAGATGGACATGCAGACCTCAGCAAGGGACAATGGATGAGGGATGACCCAGATACCACCAAGGACATGATGGAGCTGAGAACAATGGATGTGGAGTAGGAACAGCAGGAATCCTGGGACAGAGACCTCACAGAGGGACAGACTGAGCTAAGCACTACTGCAGAGGGCTGGGACCATCCAAGACAGGGCAACAGGAGCACCGCCCACCCCCAGCTCTGCACCAAGCCATCTGGAGCTGCCCAGCTGCCAAGGCCCTCACTGGACCTCAGCAGGGAAACAGGAGGCACAAACGCCTGGCTTGCAGGAGAGGGCAAGGCCCTGTGGGAATATGTCCAGCCTAGCTCAGGAGGGGGTGCCTGAGCAGGTGGCCAGATGGGCCCAAATGCTGTGTGGACAAGGCACAAGTGGCCCAGGTGCCGGTGGAGGCGCCTCTGCCTCCTGAGGGCGGGTATCAGACCACCCATCCATCCATTCTGCCCTTCTGGCCCTCTCTCATCTCTGGACAGCAGCACCTCCCTCAGGCACTGGCTCCTTCCTGACCTACTTCACTTCACCACAACCAGTGTCTTCTGGGGCCGCCTCTCCTGCCTGGCCCAGTGACAACCCAGTGGTGCCAAGCCATAGCCTACAGCCACTCCACACTGAGGCATGTGAACTGGGGAGAGGACGGGAAGAGCGAATGCTGACACCCAAGGCTGACGGTGCAGTCCCATGGCAGCCAGCACACTGCAGGGGAGGGAAGGACAGAGCCTCGGCTTCTCTTTGAAACTTCCTTACTTTTGGAAAAAGACAGATCTTAAGCCAGCATGCTAATGCCACGTGTTAGTGCTGGGGTGGACCGAGATGGGGTGTTTCGTACAGGGTTTTTGTTCTTATCTGTCCTTTTCTTTGACAGAAAGAGAGGCATCCTCAAACTGAGGGATCCTGGGAGCCTGCAGGCCCTCAGTGAGTGCCCACGGCCAACACACCTGTGGCCTGGCTGGTTGCTTGGAGCCTAGTCCCTGAATCCTGCCCAAGCCCTTGGGGCATCAGGGGTGGAGCTATCCACGAGACTGCAGGCAGCTAGAGGCTAAGTGAGGTGCAGTGAGAGCCCTGTGGGCAGGCAGGAGCTACCAGGCACTGCAAGGCTCTGGGCAGAGAAGCTACACCCTACAAAACCCCACACAGGGTTCTGCAACAGCCCCTGCAATGCTAGGAGAGAACATAGGGGTCTCTGCAGCTGTACAGCAGTGTTACCCATGCCCTGAGCGTCCACAATGGAGACAAGCAGGCCCCTTCGGATGGGAGAATGAAGCTGCTGTGATGTTTATGCCTAACCAAGGGATGTGGCACAAATTCTGCCTGGAGGGTCCCAGATGAATCCCTGCCCTGGTATGGTCAGGCTGAAGGCAGCCTGCACCCCTAGGCTAGAAGCCCACAGGGCTGCAGAGGAGAACGGCTAGTGCAGCTAGGCCAGGTACTGCTGCCCTCTAGGCAAACTCTGGCCCTGCCCCTTGTCTGGCCTCCAGAAGACCCTGGTGGGGCCCAAGCATCAAGCAAGCTTTCTGGGTTGGGGGCCTGCACCCTGATCCCACTCACATACCCACCTGCAGTAGCAGGCCAGGCTTGCCCTGAAAGGTCTGGAGCATCTGCTCCTGCCTGGGGCCAGGACAATTCCACTGGTGGGCATGGGTGGGCCAGGCCAGCCTCACAGAGGCCTCTGCTGCCCATAGGGACCAACCAGCGAGGGATGTGAAGTAGCAGGAGTGACACCTGAGAGGCTGTGTATCTGCTGAGCCCTCCCTGCCTTGGTCTAGGACTGCTGCCTGCCAAGCTGGGCACTGGGAGGCTGCCTTGGGTAGGACACCCAGGGGTTCTAGTTTCCAGCATCTTGTGTCTACTGCCAGCTGAACTTCCAGCTTACACTTTCCAGGGCAAGGCTGCCACAGCAGCTGCCCTCAACTAGGTCACCAGAACATGGCTTGGGGTGGGGAGACTTAGAAGCTAAGGTCGAAAGTGTGAGGAGCCCTGAAGCCCTGAGAATGGAGAGCCAGTCAAGAGGCCCTGCCCCAGGGGGAAGCAAGTCCAGCTGGGAGTGGGCGGGATGGGGGGAGTATGTGTGACCCTGTGGAAGCTGCCTTTCCTCAGACATGTCAAACCAGGACCAGAGATGGAAGGGTCTTCAAGTAGGAAAAGCTGTCCCTGTCTTGTGGCCTAAGGTGGCCACTGTGGTCTGCCCTCTGGGCAGCATGTTGCCCCCACCCTCAGGTAGCTACGCCTTCTGCTGAGTCCAGCTCTGCTCCTAGAAGCAGCAGCTCACAGCCAAGGCTGTAGGGGAGGGATACAGCTGGCAGAAGCCAGGACCCTCCCTCTAGGGGCTGATGCACAAGCAGAGCAGCTCTGGAGCCCACTTCTCACTGCTACCACTACCAACCGGCCTCAGGGACATGAGGCCATGGGCACTAGCCTCAGGGACTAAGAAGACCTTCTGTCTGCCAGGTGTGGTGGGTGTAGGCCTGGAGCTGTGTGGGGCAGGGCCTGTAGAGAACTGGGGCAGCCATTGCTAGATCCCTCCTGGCCAGAAGGACTCCCCTTCCACACATGGAGGCCTTTCTTTAATGTGAGCTGACAGAATCGCCACTGGCCAGGCTTTTGTGTCCCCACATCCTCATGTAAAACCCTGACCCTCAACAGGACAGCATTTGGAGATGGGGCCTCAGGGTGGCAATGATGGCGGCACTATGAAGGTGCCATGCACACTCAGGGAGAGGCCCTCCCAGCGCACAGCCCTGCTGGCACCCTGATCTGACTTCCAGCTTGTGGAACTGAGACAGTGAACGTCTGGTCGAATGGGCCCCTGTCTGGTGCTTTGCTGTGGCAGCCAAGTGGAGACAATGTCGGGTGACTGTCAGAGGGCTTTGGCTGCACAGGTCCCTGGGAACCTGCCACAGCCCTACTTGCCAGGTCTCCTTTCTGAGAAGAGTGTCACAGCCACAAAGGCTCTGTGCATCTGTGCATGTGCTGCAGTGGGGCCACCAGACAGCGAGTGGCTGAGGACCACCTCCATGTGTGCCAGACTCTGCTGGGCCCCACCTTGGGGGTATGAACCCTAGAGCCTGCCTGGCCTGTGCCACATGCCCCAGATACATGGTGCCTTGCTAGGTGTGAGCAGTAGTCTCCCCAGGGCTTCATGAAAAGTAAGCACCTCCACCTGCCCATGGGCTCCTCGCATGTGCCCGTGCAGACCCTGCAGTCTGTGGGTCCTCCTTACTGTCTCACCACTGTTGGAGCATCTATTACCACCTCTTATGCAGGTGTTACTCTGTTGCTGATAAGGGTTACAGGCTTCAGCTGCCTGTGGAATCTGAGGTGACAACGCTGGCCACAGCTGCTCTACCCTCCGGCACAGCAGGTCCTGCTTTCTTGCTTGGGTCCTCACTTAGCCAGCCCAATTCCTGGCATGACTCTATCTGGTGCCCACCAGCCCTCACAGAGGCCTCAATACATGTCAAAACCCACTGCTTGCCCTGCCTCCTAGGCTGCAGGAAACCAGGGGCTTTTGCACAGGGCAGCTTAGGGGTCCAGCAACAGCAACCCCAGGTGAAGGACCTCACCCACCCATCACCCTCCCTCCACCACTGGACCAACACTGAACCCTGGTCCGGGGTTGGAGACAAGGCAGGATGCAGGATCCAGCCGGGAGCATCCTCCACTTCAGGGGGGTCATAGCCTACAGCACACCTTCCTGAATGGGCACACCAACAATGTGGGGAAGGAAACCAACCTCTGGTCTGTGACCAGCACCCTGAGCTGAGGGGTCACAATAGCTAACAAAACCCTAAAACATGTAGAACTAGCTGGAGACTAACTCAGACCCTGTGGGGGATGGTATCCTCCTGTCCCTGCAGATGGGGGGATATGGTTAAACCAGGTCATCTGTGGAGGCTAACCACATTGCCTTGGTGGCAGGGCTCAAGGTCAGCACAGCACCTTTGCCAGCAGCTGCCCAGGTCCAGGAATAGACCCTGGAGGTCTGCAGTGCTGTGGCAGCCCCAGTAGCCCCAGACTCTCCTCAGCAGCTCTGAGTCCAGCCTGCCTTCTCTGTATTTGGTGAAAGGGAGCCGCCTCTCCCCACAGCTGCATCAGACTTCCCTCCTAGAGCTGTGTCCCGCCCAGCATAGCCTGTGAAGGACCTGAGGAGCTGATGTCCAACTGCAGAAAGACGCAAGGCAAAAGCATTGACTGCAGTGACAGCTCTTCAGCAAGGGTGAGGGGAGGACAAACGGGGGCAATAAATAAACTCCCCCAGTGATTGTGACAGCCAGCTTTATAAGGAAAGCCTCATAACCCCACGTGCACCCGGGCAAGTTCCATACCAGCAGCTCCCAGGCCTCTGCTGGGCTTGGGGTCCCGCTTTTCCTGAGCCACCTACCCACAGCCACTGCCCGTGGTTCTCTCTCCCTCTGGGTACAGGTCCCCTCCCCATGCAGCCATATGAAGGAGCTGTGTGCCTTGGTCACTGAGAGTGAGGGACAGCAGGCCTCAGCTCCCATTCTACACTCCCTGCCCAAGGCTGGGAACTTGGGTGACGATGCTGGGGCAGAGAAGGTGCCCCTGGGAAGCCATTTCCACTCTGACTTTAGAGGGCAGTGTCCCACCAAAGGTTGCTCTTATGTCCTCTCATGGGTGACCCTCTAGCCACCAAGGACAACCTGGTCTCCACCTGGCTGTGGCACCCCAGCCACACCCAGTCACCCATCACCAGGGGACTCTGAGCAACCCCCTGGGAGTGTCTGCAGCCCCCAGTCTCCTCTTCTACCCCTAGGCCTGCAAGATGGGTCCTCACAGCCTCATCCTTGCCACCCCTAGGGAAACCCTGAAATCGTGGGTCACACATTCGAGGTGCGTCTCTTCAAAGACATAGACTTAGCACAGGAAGTGACACAGATCAAGCTGCAGACAAGAGCAAGATCCCAAGCCCCAGACATGGGCCCCTCACTGGCATGGGTGGCGTCGCTGGGCTGTAATACAGGCCCAGCCTAGGAACCGTTGAGGCAAAGCCCGTCACCTTACTGCCCATGGTCTCACGGATTAGCTCAACGGGCACAGTGAGGTGGAAGACAGAGTCGAGGTCTCAGGGTGCCATAGGCACCAGATAGGAAGGGCTCAGGGTTCAGTCTGGGGCAGGACCCTCCACTATTCAGCAATAAGCATCGGGAGCTGCATCCGCACTGAGTAAAAAGCCAAGACCAAAAGAACACAAGAGCCCCACTACACCCATGTGTGCCAGATGCACGGATGCACCACCTGCAAACACGGGCAGAGACACAGGCAACCCTCAGGCCCTCCACTTCCCATGACTACCCTCCTAGGGCAGCTGGCCTACTGGGCCCTGAGTAAGATTCTAGGACACAGGCCTGAGACCAGTCTACAAAGCTTGAAGCTGCACCCAACTCAGACTGAGGGCCAGAAAGTTTGGGAAAAAAAGTCAGGAAGGAGGCTGACACCCAGGCCAAGCAAAGGGCCCTCAGCTGGGCAGGAAACCTCCCCCAGCACTTGCAGTGGTGATGGCATCTGTCCTGGCTGTGGAGCACACTGAAGGCTCTGTGAGCGCCAAGTCAGCTCTTCTGTGTGACTCTACAGCCTGCCAGCATCACCTCAGGCCCTCGAGGCACGTTCAAGCACATCCCACTGAAGAGAGGCTGCCACCCTAGAGAGTGGAAGGCTGCAGAGATGTGAGATGGCGGCAGCTTCTTCCCAAAGTAGCAGCTGCGAGCCAGCATTCGTCTGAGGGCCACGTGCACAGGGCTGCCCCCTGGAAAATCCCCAGGGCCCTGGGCAGACCCCCAGGACTCCCACCCAATGGCTCTGAGGCACCCTTCGCTCCCCACTCTTGCTGCCTACTCAGCCCCCAGTTCTGTTCTCCCATTGTGATTCAGCCTTCTCTGTGTCCCATGAGCTCACTTTCCACGCTAAACACCACATTTCTATGTGAAATGCTTCTGGCAGAGTGGACATGAGATTCCAACTTCCCTGGCTCTTGTAGTACTGTCTGGGTCACTCCTTACTACTCCCTGCCTCATACGGCTTGGGAGAGGGCCAGCCCCAGACAGTGGCATCTTGGTGTAGATACGACTGCACAGCCCTGTCCACTTGGCCTAACTTCTCATGGAACACAGCTCACACAGATTCACCTAAAGCACCAAGCACCTGGGACTCAGGGCCTCTTTGAGAATGAAGGAAAAATAAGTTTAAAAAACATTAGTTCTCAGCCGAGCATGGTGGTACACACTTGTAATACCAGGGACTCAGGAAGCTGGGGCAGGAGGATCACAAGTTTAAGGTCAGCCTCAGCAACTTGGTGAGACTGTCTCAAAGTGAAAAACAAAGCTTGGGGGCTTGGATTGTGGCTCAGTGGTATAGCGCTTGCCTAGCATGCATGGGTTCAATCCTCGGCACCACATAAAAATAAATTTTAAAAAAGATATCGTGTCCACCTACAACTAAAAAAGAATAACAACAAACAAACAAAACCTGGAGATGCAGATCAGTCTCAGTGGTAGAGCACCCCTAGGTTCCATCTCCAGTACCCCGCAAAAGGGCCAAGGGCATACTCAGAGATACAGCACTTGTCTAAGCTGAGAAGAGTCCTCCCCTCCCCTCCCTGCCCAGGACCCACACGAAGGGGCAGGCATAGCTCCTGTTGACCAGAGGCCTGGGCCCTTGACTGATGCCCATGTTTGCTCCCCCAACCCCTCAGGAGAACTGCACTTACCCAGGGGTGACGGCAGGTGGAATGACCAAGATGGTCAGCAGCCGGGCCTGATGCAGTGCCTCAGCCAGGTGGGTAAGCATGTGGATGAGGCCCCTGCAAGAACAAGAGGCAGCTGGCTCCAAGCACTGCAGGCTCCCAGTGGTCCCAGCCTGAGACCCTCCATTGGGCCTTCTCACCCCACCCTGGGTACAGCACATACAGAAAATGGCACATGTGGATCTGTGGAGAGGGCTAGGGAAGAAGGGGCCTCACACCCCAACCTGTCCTTATCCATTATCCAAAAGACCCCTGTCCTTCCTCATACCCAGGGGCCCCTCCAGCTGGAGTCTCAAGAGCACCCCAATGGGTGCTCAGAAGAGAGGGGCCCAGATGAAACAGAGCTCACAGGTCTATATCATGCTCCAGAGCCCGAGTGCACCAACACACTGAGTGGCACTATAAGCCTCAGGCTGTGAAACACTACAGGACAGTCTGAGGGCCACACAAATGGGGGCTTCAAAATGGGGCAGGTCATCAGGCATGCTGGGGCCACCAGATGAGGGGACCAGAGGGGCAAGTGGGGTGGTGTGCCCCGGGACAACTATTGACCTCTCTCCCCATACAAGCTGAGAGGACCTACCCTGTAACTCTCGACCCACATGGGCAGTGGGTGGACAGCCCACAGGGCACCTAACACTAGCTGGGGTGGAGTCTCTGCTCATAGGAGCTGGCCTAATGCTGCTGTTCCAATATTGATGTGTCTACTCTGGGCCCACTCTCCCTGGACACAAGGCCCTCACTCTTCTACTCCAGGCCCTTCAGGAGCAGCCCTGTATGGACAGTAGACTGCAAGTCCCACCTTGATGGGCACCAAGCATGAGGCCATGGCTCCCACTGGCCATGGGAATGGAAGTCTGTCTCTGAAGAGTGTGGAAGGCCGGGTCCTCTCAGCAACTGGCTGTGGGATGGTGGTGGCTTCTCAGTCTCCCTGATGTTGCCCCATCGAGGCTGTCACCTTTCAAACTGAGTGCCAGTGATGCCAGTGTGAGAACTCTGTGGTCACAAGGAAGCTAAGGCCAGACAGCCTTCCTCTCTTGGCCCAGTGCTAGCTTTGCATGTGGCAACCCAAGTAGAGACCAGGGAGGGACAAAGTCTTGGGACAACCTGTCCTCCCACTTTTGCATCCAGAACTAGTCTAGTGCACCAATGGCTATTACCCACTTATCACTTAAAGGTCATGGGCCAGGAGGACACTGCTCAGGCCCCTGAAACACCAGAGGCCTGGGACTTCAGGAAACCAACCCGACTTGGAGAGGGCCTCCTACTAGCCCCAAAGGCTATGGGTTCTGATCCCCATGACATACAAGACTTGAGGGCCAAAGAGGTGGCCAAGGCCGCTCTGTAAGGGGCCCAAGGAGTCTGGACATGCATCCACAAGGGCGTAGCCTGAAGCTGACTTTGTGGGACAGGTGTAAGCTCATCCCTATCTGCCAGCAACGGCGGCTCCCAGGGTCCCACACTGCAGCCACCCTGGGTGGGACTGGCAGCAGCAACTCTCTGCTGAGAGCTTTACCAACAGACCCTGCAGGCTAGATAGCCTCTGAGCCTGTGCTAGCAACAGCACACAAGAGAACCCACTGAGCCCAGACTCGGGTCTGGCATGTGGGAGACAGCTCCAAGTGGGGGCCAGCAGGGCAAACAGGTACCTGTCTGGCAGTCTCATCTCCACCTTACCAAGGAACTGGCCTCTCCCAGGGGCAGGCTGTAGCATTAGCTTCAGGGCTGACATCCCCAGATCTGCTACCTCCAAAGTTCACCATAACACCCATCACCCTCAGTGACTTGTGTACACTTGCCACAAAGCCTTCCAGACCTTGGGGAGGGACTACCACAGGCCCATTGAGTCTGCTGGGATGTGACCAGGAGCGCAATACTATGAACCAAGTTGAGACTTCTGGCCAGGGCAGACTAAGGTCACACGCTGCAGTAGTTCAAACTGCTTCAGGTTTCATGGGGAGAAAGGCCTGGGAACCCTGGTAGAGCTGCCCGCTCAGCTCTTCCTGCCATGCCTAGCAGTCTCTGCCCAGGGACAGCCACTCCAGCCAGATGGTGCTCTGAAGAGGAGTTCTCATAGCTGTTTCAGATGGCTCCCAGATAACCTTTCTGGCCCCTGGGAGAGCTGCTATCAAGAGGCTGGCTCCCCAAGCCCATGTGTTACAGACACTAGACCCCACCAGCATACCAGCCCATACCACGGGCCTGCATACTGGGCCAAAAGCAAGTGCCACATGCCTGCCCAAGTCTGCCAACCATGGTATTGCCAGGTTAATCACAGTCTTGCCAAGCCAACCTGACACATTGAATTCAGACTAGATGCTGGGGCGGGGGTGGTGGAAGGAGACCCATGTAAATATTCCTGTCTCAGCTCAGTCAGGTTTGTCCTGGAGGCAGCTCAATGCCCAATATGGTTGGACCAACTGGTCTTTGCTGCTCAGGAGCCTGATCACTGCCCACACCATGGCCCTGACATCCCCTGAGGACAGCTGCCCTCCACTCCCTGGGTACAAGGGCAGGCTATTCCTACCTCTGCCTCCCCTGTTGCAGTCTCTCACTTGGCTGGGCTCTGCAATTCTCCCCACAGCCCTCCTGCTCCAGTATTAATGAGCCCCAGGAACACTATGAGGCCACGTCTTACTGCCTACTTAATGCACTGAAACAGAAACAAAGTAAGGCAAACCTCAACAGATCTATGAGGGTACCATGTGGCTCCCTCCCCGTGGCAATTTGAAGAGCCCAGAGGACACCAGGGCCATCACACCTCAAAGTCCCACATGTGCTTGGCTAGTCTCTTTTCACATCCCAGGAAGTTCCTTCCTGCTCACTGAGGAAGCCTCTGCTTGTGTCTAGTGAGACCTGTCACACTGTCCTGGCCACTCTACTCACAGAGTCCCTGTGAGTGAAGGTCCTCTGTGCCCTTTACCACTCATGAGGGGCCTCCAGGCTGGCACTGCAATGTGGTCAGGATAGGTCTCCTGTCCTGGGGCCATTTCTGGCTTCTCCACCTCTCACAGGGCCTCCTCTCCACCTCAGACATAGGAACACAGGAGGAAGGCCCTCCCAAAAGCTCCTCCTCTCCCTCGGTCCTCCCTCTGGCTCCAGCAAACACTCGAGGTCCAAGCAGCCACCTGCTGCCCCAAACTCACACATGCTTCTGGCTCAGCAGCTGGCTCCACACCTCCACCACAAAGCCATCAAAATGCTGGTTCTGAAAGAAACAGAATCAATGAGGAGAAAGACCCAAGAGGGACAGGTGAAAAGACAGAACTCCCACCTTATCCAACGGCAAAGTTACAACCTAGTCACCCACGAGGCAAGGTCCAAGGCTAAACTGCACACCCAGAAATCCCTCTGAAGGGGGCAGGAGGGGGACCCCCACAGGAGTCAGAAGCAGGACTTGGCACCCTGCATTCTGTTTATCCAGGATCTTCTGTCCCTGCACCAGAGCATACAAGCAGCCGGTGGAGATGGGCTCCCTCCAAGGGACTCAGGCTCTGACCAAAGGAAGCTTCCTGGCCCTGAAGACAAGTCTCCCACCCTGGGACCCCCAGAGGATCCCTGTGTTCAAGAGGGAGCATGGGATGTTCTGGAGTGGGCTGACATTGTCCTGCCTGGAAGACCTGGGTTGCACTAGAAGGTGCTTAAGAAGAAATCCAAGCAAGAGGAGCCCAGTGGAGGCCCTGTGGGAGTCCCAGTCAGAAGGAAAGGCCAGGAAGACACAGCAGCTGGTGTGGGAGGCAGGAGCTGATCTGAGAGGTGGGGTGGGTTTGGGAGGCACAACCTTCTCTGAGAGAAAGAGACCATCTGAGGAGGCAAGGCCTGGCGGGGAGAGGCAGGGCCTTCTGGGGGTGAGGCCTGGTGGCCTGTGAGGACAGCATACAGGTCTCACCTTTGCCACCTGGACCACAGTCTTGCTGAGCTCTTCTATTTCATCTTCATTGTCTAGGACGTTGCGGAAGTCATCGTAAGTCCAGCCCTCAAACAGAAGCCGAGGTGCTGATGGGAGACACACACAGAGGTTGTGACCAGGAAACAATGAATTACACTCCTCTGCTTTTTATCCCCAATAAGGCGTCTTCTTGGGCCCCAGATCAGAATCAAAACTCAGTGATGGGAGGGGAAGCCATCCAAGGCAGATACAGCTCCAGCACGGACATCCCACACCCATGCAGGCTGGCAAGGGTGGGACACATCAGGGAAGGAGCAGGTGATGCTGCCAGTCCTCCTCCCTCACCAGCTCCCCTAGGGGCCTGCTTTCCAGGAAGGTGGCTGGACAGACTTCAGCTTTCTGGCTCCTGGCTGGTCTGTCCATAGCTGTTTCCAACTTCAATCTATCCTGATGGCTCCCACTGGCCCTGAGTACAGGTCCCCTCCTGGCCCTGCACAGGCCCCTGTGTCCTGCCCACCTCCCAGTCCCAGCCAAGACCCCCACATTCCTTCAGCTCAGCCCTGTTGCTGCTCCTGAGCCTTCCAGTGGAGTCTCTCCTCAGCCCAAGCCCCACACTCATACTCGGCTACCCCCGGGCACCTGCTGCTCACTGGAACATGTGGTGCTCCCTCACCAGCTGCGAGCTACAGGAGCTCCGGTGGAGCAGAGCCAATGTTGCCCTCAGGGACTCAATGCTGGACGGAGAAGGAAGGAAGAAATGGGAGGGAGAAGGGACAAAGCCACTGCCAAGGAAGCACTGGCCTTGGTGGGCTATGGCCCAGTGGGCAGGAGAGCCCAGGACTTGGGCTGGATCATGGGCCATAAATGCCAGGCTGTGGCTGGACTCAGAGCAGGAGGAGCGACCTACACTCACACAATGCAGTGAACTGGGTCCACAGAATCCCCTCCACCATGATGTGAAATGGATGTGGTTCCTGAACACTCACCTCCAGGCCTGCTGGACTCACCTATGTGTAGGCCCTTGGCATGCTTCCTGACAGCTCGCATCCATCCTATAGGACCGGATGGGACAGTAAGCACAGGGCCAAGAGATCCAGTCCACTTGAACTAGCTCTTCCCAGGTCCAGGGGTCACCCTGCATCACCCTCCTCCTCTAGTCTCACCTCCTCCTGATGGCCCCAGCTTCCAACCCAGCCTCTCCTGCCCCTGCAGAGCAGTCCTGAGCTTATTCTTCCTGAACAGAGATGGCTTTGAGCCAAGGGAACAGGTGGCCCTATCTTAGGCCATTCCAAGGGCCTGGGAACGTTAGGGCTGTTTCCGTGAACCAAAGGCAGCCAAAACCCAATGGGAATCCCTGGACACCAGCTAGAAACCACCAAGGGAGAGACAGAGCAAAGGAACCAATGGCCTGCACCCTCCACATCCCAGCAGCTACCTTAGCTGTCCTGCAGCCCACCTGGCACATGCTCACGTGCCTCAGATGTGCAAGGGAAGTCCTGCCCCATCATCCCCAGAACACTGAGGCAGTGCTGGATCTGCTCTGAGGCACTGACCAGTTATAACAGAGGGTCACACAATGGTGACCACCTCCTCCTGGCCCATTCTGCCCAACTCTGCATACCAGCCCACACCATAGGACTGCACTCTGGGCTCAGCAAACTCACTCCCACACACTTATATGCACACTCATGCTGACAGTCTCAACATTCATGGCACACACACCCAGTCACACATTCTCATGAGTCACGCGTGCCCACTTACAATCACACAGAGACACATTCTCACTCTCCTCATCCCTGGGATAAGCACAGGCAAGCAGGCAGTGTGAAAACCTTGGTCCACGTCGTGGAGGCCTGTAACCTCAAACATCTCACGGCCACGTCTCTTCAGCTGTAGCCAGACTGGTGAGATATGCGTGAACTTGCTCCCAAAGACCTTGGCAATGTCATACCCATGGCTGTTCCACTGGTAGAGAGAGGGGACAGCAGGCAGAGGACAGGTGAGTGCACACCTGCCTTGTGTGATTCTGTTTCTGGCTGCTCAGGTCATGCCTAAGGCCCACATCAACCCTGCCTGTGGTGATGGTGGGGCCCAGCACTCCGCGGAGTTGTTGGGACTGATGCCCATAGCCTGGCACCCTGGCAACAGCTCCTTTACCAGGGTGACTGTTGCTCTTCCTTACCAGCCCCATACACCCACGCTTCTGCAGGCTGGCAGCTGGGGCCAGACAGCCAGGGAGCACTGACCAGAGTCACTTGCAATCAGGAGGTGCAAGCCCCCATGAAATTCCCGGCACCCTTCACTCTGCCATCTCCAGGTTGGCATCTCTCCCACTTTGCCTCACAGCCCTGTCACCTGGGAGAAGACAGCAGGAGGTCTGCCTGCCATGGAGGATGGGGCAGCCCATCTGCACCTCAGGGCCTCCCTGTGTACCATGAGAACCCAACTTACCGGAGTGACATAACCTAGAACGTCTCCAGCAAAGTTTCGCTCCCGGGCCCTCGCCGAGCAGTAGCTGCGATGCTCAAGAACTACGACCTCAGCTTTGAGGTCCGTCACCACCAGACCCCGATCTTGGACAGGCTTATCTGCAAACTGAGTCTAAAAGGAAAGGAAGGGGAGGAAGCCATCACTCACTGTCCTGCGTGTAATGTAGCCTCCCAAGCAACAGCAAGCCCATCCTGTTTAGCCATGGACTGTCTCTGGACCAATGTGACTTGTTGACCTGGAGACCCTGCAGGTAGAGGGCACAGGCCAGTGGGCAACTCAGTCCAGAAGGGCTCTGGCCTTTAGAGAAGATGTGGTGGCTGTCAGGGGCTGTCCCTTGCTGGGGACTGAAGAGCAGACAGGAAGCTAGGGTGCCTCCATCCACATGATGATGGATAGTCAGTACCCACTTGGGACCTGAGACTCACCTGGGCGCAGGGCCATATATATTGAGGACATGCCAGGCACATGCCACCTCACTGACCAACTTTGTGCTCCCAACACAGGTCTTCTCCTACCTTGTGGCCACACCTCTTTCCCCTCCTCTGCTTCTAGAAGTTCTTCTTCTTTTTTTTAAATTTTTTTAGTTATAGATAAACACAATATCTTTATTTTATTTTTTTAATATTTATTTTTGGGTTGGACACAATATCTTCATTTATTTACTTTTATGTGGTGCTGAGGATCGAACCCAGGGCTTCGCATGTCCTAGGTGAGCACTCTACCGCTGAGCCACAACCCCAGCCCCTTTATTTTGTTTTCATTTATTTTTATGTGGTGCTCAGCATCGAACCCAGGGCACCACATGTGCAAGGCAAGCACTTTGTCACTGAGCCACAACGCCAGGCCCCTGTCAAAGTTCTTTTACAAGTTCTCGACTTGCCTGCTCAGTCCATACTCTAGGGCCCAGCTCACAACATCACCCCCATCATCATTCCATACAGGAATGACCCTGTAACTGCAGTCTGGCCAGAGGCATGGGGACTGCAGGAGCTGCTGGGACTGAGGGATAGGCTAGATGGGGACCTATCCTTGAGTTTATAATTCCTGGGACCATCCCAGAAGAACAGCACAACATCCCCAATACAATGCAGCTTAAGGGCATCAATATGAGAAAGAATAACCACCGTGAGACAGGAGTGCAGAAGAAAGATGGAAACTCATAGGGGACAGGCCCTGAATGGGCAGAGTGAGACACAAGACAAAGCCTGGCACCTCAGAACCTGGCTCCAGAGGTGGCAAACTCAGAGCCTTAGCCAGTAAAGTCCTAGAAACACACAAGCCACCTGCCTAGCATCCCACCCACCTGTCTACTGCTGGCTGGTCAGATGGCCACATGAGCAGCCATGCCCCTGCAGAGTCCTGATTCACAGAGTCCTGATTCCCAGCCAAACAGGAGAGACAGGAGTGTGAAGGGTCAGCATTGGCCAGTACGGTCGCCTCAAGTTCCCAGGTCATTCCTACCTTCTCCAACAGCGTCTTGGAAGCAGCTTTTTTGGCATCTGACTTTGACAGGGTAGTGTGCACAGAGCCACAGGCCAGAATAAGCCAGAGGATGTGAAGGAGCGTCTGCATGGTGAGTGTCACACGGGTCTAACCTCTGGGTCCAGAGGGCTGCAGAGAGAGAACACATGGAGACGATGGCCAGGAGAGCACAGGCCAGGCGCCACTCTGCTGAGGGGAGCATCCCTGGTACAGCCTGGGCCAGGACGGAGCCCAGCCTCTGCCAGCCCTGGCAGCTTGAGTCAGATCCCCAGCACTTCCAGGCTCCCTTGACTGGGCCACAGGTTCCTCACAGACACCCAGACAGCTCCATCACCACTGGCCACGGAGCCCTCCCCCTATTGCCCAAGGCTGCCCTGGCCACAACCAGCCACCTAATAGAATGTTGGTCCCCACATCCCCCTCAGATCCAAAGAAACCCTAGTCACAATATGAATGAAGGATAAAACAATGGAGCCACAGAAGGTACGGGAGAAAATACGAATACCCACAAAGTCTACCACATAAAAATGTAAATATTGGGGCTGGGGCTAGGGCTGAGCAGTAGCGCACTTGCCCGGCATGTGTGAGGCACTGGGTTTGATTCTCAACACCACTTAAGTAAAAAAAATAATAATAAAGGTCTATCAACAACTAAAAAAATATTCAAAAAAAAGTAAATCTTTAGCCAGGTACAGTGGCGCACACCTATAATCCCAGCAGCTCAGGAGGCTGAGACAGGAGTTCAAAGCCAGCTTCAGCAATAGAGGCACTAAGCAACTCAGTGAGACCCTGTCTCTAAATAAAATACAATAGGACAAGGGATGTGGCTCAGTGGTCGAGTGACCCTGACTTCAATCCCTGGTGTGTACACACACACACACACACACAAAAAAAAAAAATTATGTAAATCTTTAAAACCTGGGCATGGGCCAGGTGCGGTGATGCAAGCTTGTAATCCCAGTGGCTTTGGAGGCTGAGACAGGAGGATTGCGAATTCAAAGCCAGCCTCAGCAAGGTGAGGCATTAAGCAATTCAGTGAGACCCTGTCTCTAAATAAAATAGAAAATAGGGCTGGGGATGTGGCTCAGTGGTTGAGTGCCCCTGAGTTCAATCCTCAGTATCCCCCACCAAAAAAAAAAAAAAAAGCAAAAACTGGGAATGATGGCATGCATCTGTGGTCCCAGCTAGTTGGAAGGCTGAGACAAAAGGATCACTTCAGCCCAGGAGTTCAAGGTCATCCTGGGCAACACAAATTCCCATCTCAAAAAATAAAAGGAGGGGCTGGGGCTGGGGCTCAGTGGTAGAGCGCTTGCCTAGCATGCATGAGGCACTGGGTTTGATCCCCAGCACCACATAAAAATAAGAACAAATAAAAATAAAGGTATTTGTTCACCTACAAGTAAAAAGATACTTTAAAAAATTTTAAAAAATAAAAATAAGAAAAGGTGCAACTTTTATTTAGGAAACAAAAGAGCAACTTTAGAGTCAAATAAGCCAGAAAAACATATTCATAATATGCTTAAAAGGTTTTTGCCCATAACCTATCCACAATATGCAAAGAAATCTTGTAAATCAAGAATAAAAGCTGGGTGCACAGGTACATGCCTATAATCCCAGAAACTCAGGAGCCTGAGGCAGGAGGGTTGCCTCAGGGCAATTTAGTGAGACCCTGTCTCAAAGTAAAAATCAGAAAAAGGGCTGGGGACATAGCTCAGAGAGAGAGAGCACTTACCTGTTGTACACAGGCCTTGGGTGGAAACCCCAGTACTGCACATACACTGAAAAGCAAATACGCTGGCAATTAGGAATTGCTGGTCATTTTGCTATTTCTATACCTGTGTTTTGTGACTTTTTTCTGCAATAAACTCTTTTAAAAAATATTTTTAGTTGTAGTCAGACATAATGACTTTATTTTATTTATTTTTCAATGTGGTGCTGAGAATCTAACCCAGTGCCTGGCACATGCTAGGCAAGTGCTCTACCACTGATCCACAACCCCAGCCCTGCAATGAACTCTTATTAGTTGTACAGTTCATTTTTAGGTTCCAGGCAACCCCACCCTCTGGCCTTCACTCTGAGGGCGACTAAGCAACAAGTAGAGCCTGGTTGGGCAGCTGTCATAGGCTTCAGGACATTGGATATGCAGAAGCTCATCCATCTAGTCTCACACCCTCCAGAAGAGCTGAGAGGCTCGCACAGCCCAGGCAAAGGGAGGTGAGCAAGCTGGAGGCTGCGCTAGCCCACTGCCCAGCAAGTTGGAACACAACCTTCCCTGGAGGCCACAGGCACCTCTAACATCCAAGCCCAGGATGAGAAAGCTCCAGGAATACCAGGCCAGACAGGGAATGTCCATCAGGAGCTGCCAGAACCAGGCCCACCACAGTACCCACCCTCTCGTTCCTATGAACTCTTTGCCAGGGACCTCTTTTCACTTCCCTTTGCAGAGGAACATCTCCTGGGTAAGACCTACTGCAGCAACAAGCTTCCATCTTTGTCACTCAAAACAACCATGTTCCCAGCACAGAAGGGAAGTTCCCTACCTGAAATGTGGGCCACCGTGAATTATTTGAACTTCGAGTCTTCACTCAGCCTTGAGCCAGGGAAATTTAGGTTTGGCACTGTAAACTATTTTGTGGCTCCTCCCACTCAATGGATTGAGTGATGCATGAGAACTGGGCTCTCTCATACTTGTGTGTGTGTGTGTGACACTGGAGATTGAACCCAAGGCCTCATGCATGCGAGACAAGCACTCTACCAACTGAGCTATATCCCCAGCCCCCTCTCTCGTAGTTCTGGAATTGGGCATAACTCACTGGAAACTGGACAGCCCACCTCCTACCTTATTTGGCAAAGAACATTCCATTGAAAACCTTTGATGCTTCCTCCATATAAATAAAGCAAGCGCGGGCTCTCTTGCATGCTCTCTTTCCAGTGTGGAAACTTGATCCCTAAGAGCCAAGAGCCAACCCGTCCCATCCCCACTTTCTAAAATTACTTCCTGTGTCCTGTGGTTTCTTCTGTTTTCTCTCTTAGCTTTTATTCTGCAGCCAGCCCACTATATGCAGGGGAAACCCAAATTCCATCACCTGCCTGGGATGTGGGTAAGACTGGGAGGCAAGGAGACCCCATGGCCTTCAGGCTCTGAGGAACTAGGAAGGGAAGCTGAGGGTACAAAGAACAGCACGCAGTGCTTGTGGCCTTGGAGAAAGGCAACAATTGTTCTAAAAGTCATCACAGAGCCAGGTACATATGGTGGTGAAGCCTATAATCCCAGCTGCTCTGGAAGCTGAGACAGGAAGACTGAAAGTTCAAAGCCAGCCTCAGCAACTCAGTGAGGCCCTAAGCAACTTAATCAGATCTGTCTCAAAATAAAATGTGGGGGATGTGGCTCAATGGTTAAGCCCCCTGGGTTCAATCCCCAGTGCCAAAAATAAACAAAGAATAACTATGCTTGGTGCAGTGGCACATGCCTGTAATCCCAGCAGTTTGGGAAGCTGATGCAGGAGGATCATGTCTTCAAAGCCAGACTCAGCAAAAGTGAGGCAGTAAGCAACTCAGTGAGACCCTATCTCTAAATACAAAATAGGGCTGGGGATGTTGCTCAGTGGTCAAGTACCCCTGAGTTCTATCCCAGTACCTAAACAAACAAATAAATAAGAGCCATCACAGTTCTGAGATAAAAAAATCCAGGCCCACTCTAGATAGGGTGGAGGAGTGGGAGGGGAATTGAAGGGGCATGGGGTTAGAAATGATGGTGGAATGTGATGAACATCATTATCCAAAGTACATGTATGAAGACACAAATTAGTGTGAATATACTTTGTATACAACCAGAGATATGAAAAATTTGTGCTCTATGAATTTTAATGTATTCTGTCATATATAAATAAAAAAATAATAATTTTAAAAAAAAGAAAATCCAGGCCCAGAACACCTTCCATCGCTGGCTCCCCACCAGACCAACCCCTAATTTTAGCAAGAGAAATCAGAATCAAGGGGCAGCAGCCTCTTGCAGCCTTATCTCACCCTAACACTCTCACTGCTGCACAATTCTGTCCATGGGGAATTCTGTCCATGGAAGGGGGTTGGGGCAGACAGTCCATAATTACCCAGAGTTTGCCTGGCCAGGCTGAGACTGCAGCTCTCTTAGCTCCCAGGTATCCTTTTTTGCAGGGGAGAGTACAGGGATCAAACCCATCAGTTTCCTTTCTGAGCTCATCCCCCCAGCCCTTTTTTGTTTTGAGCCAGTGTCTTATTAGAGTTGCCCAGATGGGCCTTGAACTTGCAATCCTCTTGCTTCAGCCTCCCAAGTAACCAAACACCCATTTTTTACCCCAGTCCCTTCCATGATGAAAGAAGGAAATTGAGGAGAAACCATGCAAAAGGATGGCCTCCAGGGAAGTGATTACGAGTGATTGTCATGGTGTGCCCTGGTAACCACCATAACTTTGGGTCTCTTCTCTTCTTGCAGCCCTGCAAACCTGCAGCAGGGCCACTGCCCACCCACTTAGAGGTCCCTTTATCACATCCTTAACCCAATTTGATTTCACACCTTCAGGAAGGAAGGAAGAGAACGGGTGAAGCTCATATGCACCTGTGGAAGAGGAAGATGGACCTATCAGCTTCTGTACCCAGCCAGGGTACTGGGAGAACCAAACCAAACACAAAGCCAGGGCTGGTGCTACCGCTGACTGCCAGTAGCTGGTCAGTTGGCTGTGGGATGAAACACTGGGATGCAACCTGCCACAGTGCAGCAGTCGGGCAGTGATGCACATGTGAGGGAACATCCAGGCTGCTGCACCTCCCATGGCTCCCCACTGTCCACGGCTTGGATGCCTGGGAGGGCTAAATCTCCACTGTGCTCTTCACATTGGTGACTCCTGGGCTCTCCCACACAGGGCTTGTTTGTTTGGTACTGGGGATTGAATCTAGAGGTGCTTTACTACTGAGCTACATCCCCAGCCCTTTTTATTTCTATACTTTAGACAAGGTTTCATTAAGTTATCAAGGCTGGCCTCAAACTTACATCTTTCTGCCTCAACCTCTAGTTGTTAGGATTACAGGTGTGTACCACTGTACCTTGCTCACACACTGTGCTCCTGCATCAAACCATGATTCTTTCCCAAACACTAAAAACCCTCCTTTGGGCAGAAGGGCCTCCATAGTGTGGTGTGTTATGACACTGACTAATCCAAGTCTCAGAATCTGCTGTTTTAATAGACTGTTTTGGGGCTCTGAGCCCCAGGACACTGGAAGGACAGTCACAGGAGGGCTGATAGAAAGGAAGTACAGAGATTTTCAAATGCTTTTCATGCCAACCCACAGCAAGAAATGCACTAGTGCATGCATCTCACGTGTGCATGTCAGTTGTGCATGTGCAGAGTGAAAGAAGCTGATCAGTGTTCCTCAGATTGTATGGTACTACAGCATGAGATCAGCCTAAGGAGTAAAAATCAGCTTTTGGTTTTTTTTTTCTTTTTGATACTGGGGATTGAATTCAGGGGAGCCCTATGACTGAGCATTACTCCCACCCACCCCTTTTTACATTTTCAGATAGGATCAAAATAAACAAAATAATAGAGGCTAGCCACGATCCTCCAGCCTCAACCTCCTGAGTTTCTGGGATTACAGGCCTGGATCACGGTGCCAGGGCAAGTTGACTCTCAATAGAAATGCAGATCCAATGCCAAAAACACTGGGCCACGCCATGTTTTCACTTTTGAGCACAAATTGTGGAGCCAACCATGTTCTTATGGTGAGGACGGAGTGTATGCTATGCTTGGAAACGAAGGTGGTGTAAGAGGCAGAACGATAACGACCCCGGCGACATTTATTGACTTTGTGCTGCGTGCCAGGCCACAGCTCAGCACACAGGCACACTTGCTAGCACAGTTCACACGGGAGGAGACCCCGGGGCGAGGGGGACAGCCCTGCCCAGTGCTGGGGCCCAGAGCCATGGGAACACTACACTGAGGTGGCTCAAGGTCCGGTTCTGTCACCAGCCTGCTGCCCTTCACCTCCGAGGGCTGCAGTCTAGGGACCCGCAAAGCAAGGGCTGGCGCGTCGCCTCGGGTGTAGACATCTGCGGCCCCGATGTTCAAGGCATGGGGCTGCGCCCGGGGAGAGCCGGCGCGCCCGCCCAGCCCCGGGGCCACCGGCCCGGCCGCGCGCCCAAGACCGCCTGGTCGCACGCTCGCTCACAGGCCTCCATCGGCACCGCTGTGGCCGCCTCGGTCCTCTCTCGCCCACGCCCCCACTCCCCTTCCACGCCCGCTCCGCCGACTCGGCCACGCCGGCGCACACGCCTGCTCCCGGCGCTCGCGCTCCCGTACGCCCGCCCGCGTCGCCCGCGCCCCACAACCGTCTGGCACGGGAGGAGTCACTTCGCGGCAGGGCGGCTGAGGCCGTGCCAGGAGGAACAGGCGCGGCGGCCGCGGGGCTCACCTTCATGTCAGAAGCCGGCAGAGCCCTCGCGCTCGGCCGGAAGGCGCCGCGACGCGCCGGAAGCCCCGCCCACGGCCGCCCAGCCACGCCAGCCTCCGCGCCGCCGCGCACGGCACGCCGGGGCGGGGCGGGGCGGGGCGGGGCGGGGCGGGGCCTTGGCGCGAGGGGTGGGCCCAGGAGAGTGGGCGTGGCCGGTGCCTGTTCAACAGGGAAAAAAATTTGACCCGCGTCGTGGCGATCCCCTGTGACAGGTTTTGACCGGCTAGTACCCGACACGACGTCTGGGGACCTAGGGGGCTTGGGACTCCAGGGCCCTGCCCGGACTCGACGGCACCCCAGGCCCTAAGCGGCCAGTTCCACTGTCTCGCCCACCTCCCGCAGTCTTCCCGCCCGGTCTTCCTCCAACCCCTCCCCTCGTGGCCGCCTGGAACCGGGCCTGGTTGAGCGCGTCCCGGTCAATTCCAGGGCCCACGGTGCCCGCTGCGGAAGGGACGCCCTGTGGCCTCGTAAGCCCTGCCTGGGGATGGCCCCAGTCGAGGAAACTCCCGCTCTCCCCGTCCTCCTCGGCCAAGCCTCTCCGGCGGGCAGCCCGAGGCGACGGGAGCACCGCGGCCTGCTTCAGCCCGGGGACCTGCCATTGGTGCCCGGGGACTGGCCCGCTCCCCGGCCCGGCCCTTCCCGGGGTTCCCGGGGGTTCCTGGGGGTTCCCGCAGAAACCGCCACACACACACCCCGCCACACACACCCACAACCCCCCAACCACACACACACACCCCGCCACACACACCCACAACCCCCCAACCACACACACACACACCCCGCCACACACCCACAACCCCCCAACCACACACACACACACCCCGCCACACACACCCCGCCACACACACCCACAACCCCCCAACCACACACACACACACACCCCGCCACACACACCCACAACCCCCCAACCACACACACACACACCGCCACACACACCCACAACCCCCCAACCACACACACACACACACACCCCATCATACACACCCCGCCACACACACCCACACACACCCCATCATACACACCCACACCTCACACCCACACGCACACACCCCGCCACACACCCACACCCCGCCACACACCCCACACACACCCCATCGTACACACCCACACACCCCGCCACACACACCCCATCATACACACCCACACACCCCGCCACACACACCCACACACACCCCATCATACACACCCCACACACACACACACCCCGCCACACACCCACACCTCACACCCCACACCCCGCCACACACACCCACAACCCCCCAACCACACACACACACCTCACACACACCCCGCCACACCCCCCACACACACACACCCCGCCACACACCCCACACCTCACACACACCCCGCCACACACACCCCACACACACACACACCACCCCCACACACACCACATACTCCCCAAACACCGGGGCCAAGTCCTGGTGCACTGTGTGGCTACTTCCCCATTCAGAGTCTTCATGAGCTGAGCTTTTCTCTCTTTTTCCTTTCCAATAAGGTTCCCTTCTTTCCCTTCCCCATATTCTCTGCCAACTGTCCCCCAAGTCTTTCCAGAGCGGCCAGGGCTGGATGTGTGTGCTGAAGGTCATGCAACAAGTGCTTTCCTGGTGTCCAGCGTGCCCAGCACCGTTGGCACATGGTGAACCCAAGTTGGGCAGAGCTCTAGAGAGGGCCCAGTGAGCTGTTCTGGATGTCCTGAGAGTTGTGAAGTTCACAGATCTCTTAAGTGGCAAAGGCAGTTATCCTTCTTGGGGTCCCACTTGAGGTCAGAGTCCTTTGAGCTACAGAATTGCAGAATGCACTCGGAGTGCACCTGGGTCTGCCTTGCAGGCCTCAGGAACAGAGGGAGGGAGGAGCAAGGAGGCCAGGAGCAGCCCCGGCTGCAGAGCTGTTCCCAAGGCCTGTTGGCTTGCCTCCCAGCTCCCTGGAGCTGGCATCAAGGGGCCACAGGTCCCTGGGGTGAAAACGGGTTGCTTTCAGTGGATACCCACCCGCCCACCTAAGGATAGAGGCTACGGAAGCTGTGGAATGAGGCCTAAGAGAGCCAGAGCCAGGGCACCGGCATTTCTGGGTTGAGCGGTGCTGAAGGAGGGCTCATCGCTGGCCTGACTTCATCTGTCCAACTGTGTTTTCCTTCTGAGCCACTTTATCCTGTGGTCATCTTGAATTCCACGAACCACAGGTCTGCTCGATAAGCATCTTTATGACAAGGAATGGAAACTACCTCCGAGTACCTGGAACCTTGGAGAATAGATCATCCCATGATTGCTCCTTAGGCGGAACGATTGCCCTTGCCCGATGCTGGAATGGAGACTGCCCCCCAAGCAAGAGCAATCATCCCAGGAGGGGAAGAGATCATCCCTTCCAGATGACAACCCTCTCAGTGTTTCACAGAACCAATTCTGGGATAACAATCACCAGACCATGGCTGACCAAAGACCTACTCTGCCAGTGATGCAGAGACCCTGCCCGGCCAGCCTCCAAGCACCCTTGCCTTTTTCTATGAAATCTCAAAGACCTTGCATATTGGGACAGGTGACTGAGCCAGGTCTGTTGGGACTCCTAGAGCTGGGGTCTTCAGCCTAGGACTCTGATAACTAAACCTGAACATGTTTGGTAGAGCACTCTCGGATTTTAATCTGTTTGAGTTGTTGAGATTCCTCAGATTTTGTTGTCAATTCTGATGACCTTAACCATGGATATTTAGTGTAAATTTAATTCAGCTTGAAATGTTGAAAATGTTTAATTAACTGAATTTGTAGATGGGACCAAATGTCATCCAGAGGCTCCTTAAAAATGACTATAAAGGGGTTGGGATTGTAGCTCAGTGGTAGAGCGCTTGCCTAGGATGTGTGAGGCACTGGTTTCCATCCTCAGAACCACATAAAAATAAGTAAATAAAGGTATCATGTTCATCTACAACTAAAGAAAGAAATAACTATAAAGTTTCTCCAGTTGCAATGGCACGGTCCTGTAATCCCAGGGACTCAGGAGGCTGAGACAGAAGATCACAAGTTCAATCAAGGCCATCCTCAGCAATTTAAAATTAAAAAGTGTGGAAGGTGTTGAGCACCGCTGTGTTCAATTCCAGCAATGAGAAGAAGAAGAAGAAGAAAAAAAGATTGTAAAGCTTTTTAGATTTACAAAGGGAATAGCAAGGTTTATAAAATTACATTTAGTTAAAGAGTGTGTGTGTGTGTAAATAACTGGGAATTGGACTTTTAATTTTTTTTTTTTTTTGAGAGAGGGTCTTCAAATATTGACCAGGCTGGTCTCAAACCTATGATTCTTCTTCATGAGACTAACTGAGTAACTGGGATTACAGACCTGCTCCTGGCTAAGAAATTGTTTTTGATGAGGCAGGTGGATCACAAGTTCAAGGGCGACCTGGGCAATTTAGCAAGACCCTGTCTCAAATAAAATAAAAATGGACTGGGGATGTAGCTCAGTGGTAAGACACTTACCTCGCATGTGTGGTGCCTGGTGTTCAATTCCCAATACCCTAAAAAAAGAAACAAAGAAAAAAGTTGGGTTTGGAATTTATGACTCAGTAACCCAAACCTTAATTATTTAACCAAATCCTAACAATTTAGCCCCCTTGTCCAGAAAGTAAGCCAGCCCTCTGCCCCATTTCCCAATCCTCAGTATATAGTGCCTTGGCCAAAGTCCGAACTCAGGGCCCTCCGAGGCAGTCCTGCTTGCCCTCGCCTGTCGGCAATGGGCACTGGAGTACAGGCCAGGACAGAGTGGCCTCTGTGGACCTGCAGAGAAAAGACTTTCTGCTGCCGACTGAATCCCTGCTCCTGCTCTGGGGTCACCCCACCCTAGTGCTCCTGGCCAGCAGATGTCCCCAGTCTGAGCCTGCCTCTTAGGGACAGCCTCAGGGTGTCTCTGAGTTGCTGTGGGAGCTAGATGGTAGCCAGCACTCTGAAGCCACTGGCACTGCTTGTTGGAGGTGCTTTGGTGGCTGTCTGGCTCTGGGGCAGAGTTTGTGTCTCCCCGGGCTTGCCAGTGTCCCTGAGTGGGGCCAAGGTGGGGTCCCCAGCCTTGCAGGTGGCTTGGGCTATTCCTCTCTTGCCAAGTCAGGATAAGCAAGGCCCTTCCCAGTATTGACAGCCCAGTGACTCTATCTTGTTTTAACCAAAGGCCTTGACTGGGTCATCTGGAGGGCAAGACACAAGCCACTATTGTTGAGACATTCCAATTTAGAGGACAGAAGTCCAGGAGGACAGACATACCCCAGGATTCCCTGCTGCAGAGTCATCCCCACTTGTGCACAGAGACATCCTCTCTAGGTGCTGGGATAAGCAGATTCAGGCAAGAAGGAAGGAGGAAGTAGGCACATTCACGTGCAGCGGAAGCTTCCAGATGGAGCTCCAGGGCCAGCACAGCAGATTTTCTGTCTGTGTCCTTTGTGTGGGCCCCACTGGCCCCACTGTCCTTGGCCAGAGTGACAGCTGTGGGTGTCTGGCCAGCAGCCAGGCAGGCGCAGAGCCCTGGGGTGGGTGTCTGTGACAGTGTGTGGCCCCACACTGTGTTTGTCCTTTGCAAGGATCTGTGTGCTTCAAGGCATCTGCTGTGGGTTTGATGCTTCTCAGTAACCCCAAACCAACATAAAAACCCTAAAAACAAAAGGAGGAGCATACATGTAGCATGAAGGTCAAAGAGGCAGCGCTTCTCAGTAGCTATTTGGGTGCGATGCCATCCCCTCCCCCCAAGATTGTGCAAGTTCTACCCCTGGTACCAGTGATTGTGACTTCATTGGGAACAGTCTCTGTGGATGTCATCAAGATAAGGATCTTGGAGATTATCCTGGTTTAGGGTGGGTGCTTAATCCATTGACTGCGGTCTTTGTAAGAGGAAGGAGAGGAAGATTTGAGACACACAGGTAAGAAGGCACGCGAGGCCGTGGCTGGAGATGGGGTCACTGTCTTCATGCCCAGGAATGCCAGGGAAACAGAGGTGGGAGGGCACAGTGCACACAGACTCTCCCCACGCTTCTAAAAGGACCCTGCTCAGCTGACTGAACTGAGGGAATAA